ATCAGCAGGGTCACCCATGGTGGACAGGTTTCAGTGGAGCTTCCAGACTAATACAGACAGGGAAGAAGGAAGGGGTCATCCACTTCTCAAAGAATTGGCTAGTAAAACCCTTATGAATAGAAGTGAAACAGTATCTGGTACATTACTGAAAATCTTTATGAATAGCTCTGAAACATTGTTTAATATAGTGACAGATGATGAACACCTCAGATCAGAAGGCACTCAAAACATGACTGGGGAAGATCTGCCACTTCAGAGTAGAGCAGACCTTAATGATGTGGATGGAGTAAAGCTTTCGGGACCTCCATTTGCTGATATGGCATGACTGAAAATGGGAAGAAACAGCTGCAAACATCCATTAATAATTAGAGCATGGAATATACCAAGTATGAATGTAGGAAAATTGGAAGTTGTCAAAAATGAAATGGAATGGATAAAGACAGATATCTTAGGCATTAGTGAGCTGAAATGGACTGGTTTTGGCCATTTTGAATCAGACAACCATATGATCTACTATGCCAGGAACAAGAAATTGAAGAGGAATGGCATGCCATTTATCATCACAAAGAATGTTTCCAGATCTATCGTGAAGTAAAATGTTGTCAGTGATAGGGTGATATTTATATGACTATAAGGAAGACCAGTTAATACCACTGTTATTTGAACTTATGCACCAACCACCAAAGCCAAAGATGAGGAAATTGAAGATTTTTACCAACTTCTGCAGTCTGAAATTGATCAAACATGCATCAAGTTGTGTTGATTATCACTGATGACTGAAATGCAAAAGTTGGAAATGAAGAAGAATCACTGGTAGTAGGAATATAAGGCTTGGTGATAGAAATAATGCTGGAGATCACATGATAGAATTTTGCAAGACCAATGACTTATTCGGGAGCTCTGGTATCATAGTACCTAAGGTACCTGACTGCTAACCAGAAGGCTGGCAGTTCAAACCCACCAGCCACTGCTCGGAAGGAAGGTTGGGCAATCCTACTTCCGTAGTGATACTGCCTCGGAAACCCAAGGAGGGGTCGCTATGAGTCGTGGCCGACTCGACGGCATGTAACAACAACAACAACAATGACTTATTCATTGTAAATACCTTTCTTCAACAACATAAACGACAGCTATACATGTGGACTGCATCAGATGGAATACACAGGAATCAGATCGACTACATCTGTGGTAAGAGGCGATGGAAAAGCTCAACATCTTCAGCCAAAACAAGGCCAGGAGCTGACTGTGGAACAGACCATCAGTTGCTCAAATGCAAGTTCAGGTTGAAGTTGAAGACAATTTTAAAAAGTCCAGGAGAGCCAAAATATGACCTTGATTATATCCCTCCTGAATGTGGAGACTATCTGTGGTGGTTATATTTTTGTGTCAACTTGGCTGGGCAGTTTTATGCAGTATTCTCCATGATGAGACTGGTAATCAACTCCGTGGTGGAATCTACTATGAGGGTCTGTGGTCTGCTTTCCACATATAAGAAACAGCTCTGCACAATAGTCCTATAAGTTTATGCGAATGATCAGAATTCCCAGGTGTATA